CTGACGGGCTGACGGATAATGACAGGGAGAAAAAAATCATGTGTGTGATACGGACTGTTCAATTCTTTAAGAGTTGTATGTTATAATCTAGTTTAAAAATCAAAAAGATGTGTAAAATAAGAAGAAAACTTGTCAGAGTAACATAAAATTATCAAACATACCAAATTAAAAAGATAATCTTTCAAGATGCTAAAATATATAATCATAAGAAATGGATGAAAATATACTTTTAAACTGAATTTAAGATATAAATGATTGCATGATTCTAGGCGTGTGCCATAACTAACTTTATGTGTAAGGAATAGCGGACACAAAAGAGGGTCGATGTTTGCTTTATATAATTTTATTGCTAACAGTATGTCTTGGTCTATAAATAATATTATTGATCACAATAATTTTGTTTCCTGGTTTTCACAAAGTGAAGCGCACAATGATTTCAAATATCCCCCCCCCCCCAAAAAAAAAAAAAAAGAGATAACAGCACCGTTGGAAGTGTGATCGCATGCATGAGCGTGGATAACCTTTGAAGGGTTTTTTTTTCTTCAGTAAAGTATATGGAGAGCAGCGTTTTTAGTCCCTTATTGCACCCCAGAGGTGGATAATTTATCTTAGTGATGACTCTTGTGTAGTAAAATTTGTTGTTGCTTTGTTTGGTTTATCTTTTAACAGCAGAATCTTAAGTGAACCGGAATTATTGATTGTGGGATCTTAGGTGAAGACTACAACAATAGAATTAAAACGAGTATAGTTCTATCTAACAAGACTCAAACTCTTATCCACCCCCACCCTACCCTCTCCCCTCATCTGATATGGTTCGGTGTTTCTTTAACATAGAAAATATTCATCATTATTGTTGTTGAATATTGATATCATGTTCTAATGGAGCCTCTAGATATCTACATTTAGACTACAGTAGCATCTAATGTGCACACTCAAAGGAAAGCAATATCTTTAATTAAAATGTATAATATGTATATACATACACACACATAATAATTATATATATTATTATACTCATAATAATTATATATATTTATGAATAAGAATACTTTTAAAAAATTGAGTATCTCAGTCTTTCTGCTGGGGTGTTGTATCCCTTTCAGCCTGGGTTGGCCTTGGCATGTAGCGCCGGGGCCAGCCTCTTATGAATTAATGGTTTAAATTGTGTTGCTGGGGGCATAGAAACACTTTCATTCAAATTTTTAAAAAGGGAAACAACTTAACTGTGAAAACTTCGGTCCACTGCAGCATCATATCGGTTCTTACACTTAAATATACAACACAGGTGCAAGGCATTTTTACTAATTGACTTGCCTAATCTGAAGGACTTCGGAATAAAACCGTCTTTCTTTATCTAGATTTCAGTGCCTTAATCGGGCAATCGCGCAGCGCAGGTAGCCCACGGTTCCGCCGCGAGAGAGGGCTCCTATCACTACTATCAGGCGTGCGGTGCCGCCCACAGAGCATCCTCCATTACTTTTAATCTCCTTGAAGAAAACCCATACCTAAATAACTGGTT